CGGAAGCGAGGCCGCGGCTCGGGGCCCGCCCCCTCGGCCGGGCGGCCTGGTCTACGCGGGCTCCCGGGCACCCCTAGATAGCCGCCGGAGCGCCCCGAGGGGCGCAGGAACCGCCCTAACGGCCGCGTCCGGGGCTGAGAGCTGGAGGAGCCCCGCGGCAGGCGTGCTCCAGCCCCGGCAGGCTACAGCAGCCCCGCCTCAGTTTCTCCCCTGCCTACCGTTGCCTGGGGGCTGGGAAAGGTGGAAACCGCCCAAAACACTTAGATATAAGATCTGTGGAATATCTGGAAGCTAGTTTAAAGCCTGGTGAAGAAAGATTTGGTGCAACTCTGAAGGGTTATTAGACCCCCGGGGCCATACAGGAATGGGAGCTGCGGAGGGGGTAATTATTAGTGTTTTCTCTTGGTTGGTCTTGCTTTCCAAAAAAGAGCTAAAAGATTGAGCGAATAAGCCAGCAACCCTGCCAGCCCAGCATTTTTTCCCCCTTAAAAAGTCGTATTTATTTTTAATTTCATGTATTTTTAATCCCTATAAAAATTCAAATAATGCAGATAAAATGAAAACCAATCCATTTCCTTGAGGTAAACACTTATCTATTCAATTCCAGCTTTAGGGCATTTGCAGCCTCTGGCAAAGGAATTCTCCTTTAAACTTGGGGATTCACAGTTTGTTCTGAGATCGCACACTCTTCGTTGGGTAGAAGCCACTGTTCTTCCACGCACTCAGCGAAGACTTTTGAACTGTACCCAAAGCATGACATGCAAGCGTCCCATGTAATTTCCACAAGTCAATGGAGTCAGGCATTATTACTCCCATTTTACAGATGATGAGACGGGAGTAGGAAGGTTAAGTGGCCAAGGTTACCCAGTTATTAAGTGGTAGAATCAATACTCAAGCCAAGAACTGGCTGAATCCAAAGCAGGCTCTTAACTCATTACTGTGTTATTCACAGATGAATAAAATATAGCTCTTGTATCTAAGGACTTTACAGTCTCCTTCTTGAGCTCTAGTTAAGGCGGTTTAACCAGCCGGCTGGGAACATTAGCGCTTCCTATTGTTAAAAAAAAATTCAAGTAAATGTAAAGATCAAATTGGCTGTATTTAAGGATTTATGAATCACACAGCATCCCATCTAGCAAACAGAAAAGGAGCTCTGAGGAGCTGTACAAAATGGAAGGGTTTTTAGGACGAAGGGAAGTGGAAAAGGAAGTGCTGAACAAAGAGTGGATTGTTTCCGGCAAGGTTACCTTCCCTTGGAGGAAGAGTTGGGGGATCAATCATGCGGAACACCTCACTAGAGTGGATCAAATAATTCCAGAAAGACTGGCTAAGGGCACATTCCTGGGAGAGGCAGAGACCAATTAAGTCTTGGTTTGCTGTCCTGGGGGCAGTTTGGGGCCTGTTGTTCCTTTCTTCCCCCCCCCCCCCAAGTGAAACGTGTGATCAAAATTGAAGCCATTAGCCCACCGCTCTGTACTTCTCACAGCTTTTGCTGATCCTCTGTGTGATTTTCACAGGTTGGGATGGTTTTTTTTTGCTGGATCTCCGTGGTAGTCACAGGTCATGACTCCAGGTTCACAGTTTTCTAGATGGTCGTTTCCTTCACTCCTTTTCTGGCGTTCAGGTCTTAGGGAGATCATTTGCTTGGTGGTTAGTCGCTGTTACACCTGCGTTTAAAGCTTTGGAGGGAACATAGTGTACTAGGGAGACCACTGTGATTATTATGAGCAGAATAATTCCCAGTGTTTGGAGTGCACTTTGGAGCCATGGTCCCCAAGACCCAACCCAGTCAAAATCAAGTAAGTCAAAGAAAAACCGATCGCATTGAAGCAGGCACCTTTTAAAGCCAAATGGCATGTATAGTGATCTTTAAAAAAAATAATAATAATGTTTTATTTATTTTTGAAAGAGAGAGAGACAGAGTATGAGCAGGGGCAGGGGGTGGGCAGGGAGAGAGGGAGACAGAATTGGAACCAGGCTCCAGGCTCTGAGCTGTCAGCACAGAGCCCAATGTGGGGCTTGAACTCATGAACCCTGAGATCATGCCCTGAGCTGCAAGTCAGAGGCTTAACTGAGCCTCCCAGGTGCCCCAATTTATGTAACTGTTACTTATGTAACTGTTTCAACTTCTCCTCAAGCGTTAATCCAGTACAGCAGGTGGTCCTGGTGGCCACAGCACCGATTACTTCTTGCTCAGCTGAAAGAGTACTGAGGTCTATCTTATTATCAAAAACAACTTTGGCCACAGAGTCTAGGGATTTTTGTTGGGCAGCTTTTGTCTTAGCACATGCTGCAATATTTTCAAGAGTTAAGGAGAGGTCCCTGATCATACTCTTATTCACATTTATTCCTAGTCAAGGAAGTAGGACCCTGTGAAAGGAAGCAAATCCTGAATCTTGAAAGTTTCTTAGAAGGTCTTTTCTAGGGGCGCCTGGGTGGCTCAGTCGGTTAAGCGGCCGACTTCGGCTCAGGTCATGATCTCATGGTCCGTGAGTTCGAGCCCCGCGTCGGGCTCTGTGCTGACAGCTCAGAGCCTGGAGCCTGTTTCCGATTCTGTGTCTCCCTCTCTCTGACCCTCCCCCGTTCGTTCATGCTCTGTCTCTCTCTGTCTCAAAAATAAATAAACATTAAAAAAAAAAAAAAAAGAAGGTCCTTTCTAAGTTGACAATGTAAATTCAGGGGAGTGAGGTGACTTAGTTTGAATGTGAATGGTTAGGGGCACAGTTAGGTACCCTAAGAGCTATTACCCAACTCTGTGTCAGCCATCTAGGAATTCATAGCCCCAAGGAGGGTGAGAACCACCACAGACAAAGATAAACCATGTTGGGGTACAAAGCATTCTTGTTAAGGTGATACCATCAATGGATTCACCCACAGGGATTGTTGCATTTGCCTGTTCAAGCCAGGACTCAGTTGGGTTTTCAGTGTATTTGGGAAGTAAATCTCCTAGCACAAAGCAGTTGTTCTAAATACCTCATAAAGATGGGTGGTGCCGGTGAGGTCTTTTTGTGATTGGGGACAGATCTGAGTTAGGTAATCATGCGAGTGTGGGTGTGCAAATGTATTGAGATTTACATAGGTACTTGTGTCTACTTGGGTAAAACAGTTATCATTGGTGAAAAGTAAAAACAAGGCACTAGATTTCTGGCCATTTGAGTGGAACTTGATAAGAGACTTCTAAGGCGGGGGGTGTGGGGGTGGGGGGGTGGTGTCTATCGTTGTAGTGACATTGGGAATAGAAGAGAAATTGGTCATAGGAATGACCATGGGGGTTTCTAGCATCATGGACAGATTGGAGTTTTTGATGAGAAATTCAACAGTTTGAAAGGTTACCCTCCTTAGGAATGGTCTGGGAGATACAGATGATGGCACAGGCAATGCCAGAGTCATGGAAATAAAAAGAAAGGATTTCATGTTTATTTAAAATATGAAGTCTTTATCTGGCATCTTGGGTGAAAGCAGTCTACTCAATGGAAGCTACTTGTCTTTCTCACCAGTTTGATTTGGAAGTTTCCAGTATCTGCCTAGGATCAGATGTCACATGGAGCCTTCTTTACCTGTGAGATGTATACCCAACCCTCAATGCCTTCTGGTTTCACATCAGTGTCAGGAGCACTTGGTAAGGTCCCTTCTTTTTTTTTTTTTTTTTTTTAAGGTTATTTATTTATTTTTGAGAGAGAGAGTGCACACGGGGCAGAAAGAGAGGGGGAGAGAGAATCCCAAGCAGTTTCTGCACTGCCAGTGTGGAACCTGATGCAGGGCTTGATGTGGGGCTCGATGTGGGGTTCAACGGGCTTGAACTCACCGACCGCGAGATCATGACCTGAGCTGAAACCAAGTGTTGGATGCTTGACTGACTGAGCCACCCAGGCACCCCGGTAAGGTCCCTTCTCAGAAGGGACAAGAACTGTCTTCTAATGACATTTCCAGAATACCTAGACAGCAAGCTCCAGACTGTGACGAGCAGGACCCTTTGAACTGGGACTGGGAAAGCTTCTTTAACCTGTTGATGACAGGCTTTAGCCTAAGACTCGAAAGATTTACAGTAACTGGTCATACTAGCGTGAGATAAGGGATCAGCAGAAAGTTGTATGCCAATAAATGTTGGTTGACCGGTGACTGTCTTATGTGGGGTGAGTTTATGTTTCCCAAAGGCGGTCTGCAAGTACTCAGCAAGACCAGAGGCAATACTGAGGCCAACAGGATCCAGGAGTTTCAGCAAGTTTAGAGATTTTTAAGTTTGAAGATCCCATTCATTCTCTGGACCTTGCCTGATGATTGAGCGTGATAGGAACCGTGATAATTCCAAGAGGTTTGTAAGGTTTTTGTTAAAGCTTGTAGTTTTGCCCACTGAAATGGGTGCCTTGATCACTGGAGATTGTGGAAGTTATACCCCAAGTGGGAAACATGTTTTCTAATTTCTTTGCCACTGTGAGGGGATCTGCCATGCGGCAGAGTGAGGCTTCAACCCATCCGGAAA